GATAACCTTTTTGTGTTTAATATAAATTCTGTGTTGTGACATTAATTAATAAACCCTAACAACCACATCCACGACCAGGTGACTCTAAAACCCAGTCCAGTTGCTTTTATAACCCTTATCGAATATTCCTTTTTACTTAGAAACTCTTACGGTATGACCAACGTAAATTTAGGGCGCAAATCATGAGTTAAAAATTTACTCGTCATATTCTTATAAGCTGTGACTCCATTGTATAAATTAACATCTCTCGGTCTCATACATATCGTTGAATGGATAGATGCGTTGTAGCCCTTAACCAGGTCTTGAATTACATCGATATATCGTTGACTATTTTTATGTGTGAAATATCTGTATAGTTTTTCTATAAGAGTTCTATTAAAACGTTCAACTAAACTCATTCATTTTCTAAAAATTTCTGAAACTTCTGTACGATAAATTCTTTTCCCTTATCGGTCTGGAGACTTTCGGGCTTGCGTTCACTATCCTCAAAACTATGTTTAAATGCTGAGATTATAGAGTTATTTGTTTTATCTCTTAGCGGAACTACCCATGCGTACTTACTAAGAGCGTCAACGACTGTCAAAAGACAAGTGTAATCATCATTTAAACTTTTAAGGGATTTTAAAATAATTAGATCTACTTGCTATAAATCATCGATGTTCGTTACATCGTAATGACTTCTGGAAATTTTTTTGCGGATGGGTTTAGGAGGGTGTAAGCGTCAGTTATTTTTAACCATTGATCAATATGTATTGTTTTGACTTTTTTATTTAAAAGTTTTTTCAATTTTACACTTCCACCGTAACCTGCAGGATGTGCAGCGTTATAATACACTGGTTCAATCATTTCGTTTGCATTAGTTTCAAGGTCTTCCAAGTTTCGTAGTTGGAACTATATTTTCGTTGTTAATTTCGCGTGGTGTTACTAATGGTGTTGTACGATACTTCCGCTTGCCTTCGAAGCCCCGTGGTGATCCTGCAAGAGCTCTACCGGGTGTTCGATCTGGAGATGGCGATCGTGATGGTCTCTCAGTGCGAGCGGGTGTAGATGACTGTTTTATTTCAAGCTCTTATGTCGCTGAGGTGTACTACAGTGAGAAGGATTTTATCCCCACATCCGAATCACTGCGCTCAATTTGCCTAATTCCCGACACCTCGAGCTGTTTCTTCATGCGAATATAATTGAATATCTTTGCGTTTCCTATAAACTCATGCGGTATGTTACCTTTATGGCATACTTCTACAAACTGCTCCCATCCGACTGGATTAGAATTCTTTCTACTTCTCGTATTCACTATCGTCTTTCTCTTTAGCAAGGAATAAATATCGCTGTAGAATCTGATTGTAACGTTTCCTTTTTTCGTCGTCCTGCAGTTTGGATCGTAATATTTCATCCATGTCTCGGTCCATTTCAAGGAAATGATCGCGTTCTTTTGGGAGCGGTCCCCACTGCAAATTCTCCACAGTTTCATGCGGGATCAAAACCCTCTTCTTAGCACGTTCCATCTTTGAATTATTTACTCCAAACACTTTTGAAGCAAGAATCGATAATAAAGGTCCTAACAATAAAGGCAAGAAGCCTGATCCATTTTGAATGAGTAGTTTCTTCTTTCCGTTCCAGGTACCGTTGTTACATGCCAGTTTACGAAAAATTTTTGTATGTTTAGCCAAATGTTTTGTCTCTTCAGAAGTAAGTGGTACCCCGCCGTGTAGGAGATTAAGAGCACATTCACAGATAACACAAACCAACTCTGAATCTGCTACTGTGAGTACAGCACGCCGATGTTCTGGTGCTACTTTACACAAAGCCTGCAGTGTGTGTATGTGTTTTTTGCAGCGGATCTCAGGCTAATAGTTTAACGTCGACGAATACCGCTTGTTTTATGCTCCTTAGGAACGTAAACGATGTGTACTGGATTGTTTCGAAATAAACACGTCCGCACTCGACAATTTTCAGGTGTGGCCTGTATGAGATCCAGAAGTAAATACCGTGAGGTATCAGTGTCGCGTCGTAATAAGCATCCTGAAGAAATATGGGATTGATTGGATGAACCTGACGTGCAAGATGTTGAATCTGTGCTCGGTCTTGTGGGTTTTTAAAAAGGACAATATAGTTATCGTTTAAAGATATATCACGCTGACCTCGTCCCTGATGAAAAATATTTTGAGTAATGAAGAATATGCTTAAGTTTTTATGAAGACAGAATTTTGTAAAAATATCAACTATCTGCTCCTTAGATTCCCGCATCATGTCAACTATAATTATCAGTATGGGGTGTTCTCCGGTAAAGTCTGAGCAGGAAGGTAACCCCTCCTGGAACTCAACACTCTTCAACTCCTTCGAACGATAAAGAGGCTGTGATTCGGAATAATACCAGATAATTCTAAAAATTTTAACATCGCTCATATCCTTGATGTAATTTATAAAGTTTTTAACGAAATAGCTTGAACTAGGTTCTGCCACAATGGCCGACCACGGATGAACCCAGCGGGGATCCATAATTTAACACAATCAAACGTACTAGAAAACTGTAAAGTTTTTCAAAGTGTCGAGTTTAAATACTAAGAAAACAGTTTTAAGATTTCGTATTGCTACCAGTTTCAGTTATTATGTAGGGATGGTGGATGGGGAGTGGGGGGGTGATGCTCTAACCCTATAAGAAACGTCGATTCCCAGGATCTTCAATCAGTAACAAACATCTCAGATATCCTTGTTAAAATGGTCAACTCTCAAAGTTCTGACTGGGATTGTCCAGCTACTCACGCCGCTTTATACCATATGTGATGGCGTTGAACATTGGATATTGTGTGCGAACCCTCAAATGTACGAGCAATCTCAACGTTTGGAAAAAGTCTATACGAAAATGTGTCCAGTCTATCGTGCTGGGGGTGTAAAACGGCCTGAGGGTATAGATACACCTGATCGTCTGGTCTTAAAAGAATCACTACCTGCGGAAACATCTGACGTGGAAAATGGGAAGAGGAAAAATAAGGAAAACGAAGACGATTATAAACGAAAAAAGTAGCACTTAACGAAGGAGAAAACAGGATGTCGCTTAAAATATCTGTGGGTATGAATACCACGCCCTCCACATTTACAGCGGTACCCGTTCCAAAACCATCACCATTGCTGATGATGCAAACTGTATACAATTTAAACAATCAGAAGCGTATCGTCGTGGGGTTATGGATATCAACCGACTTTACAACTCCTTGGTTGTAGAGGGGATGCCGTTACGCTTCTACCATTGGACTGGCGACTTCTTCTTGATCACTCTAAGAAATTCATAGCTCACTTTACAGACACTGCTGCTATTGTTACGAAAAATAAAAATAATGAATGATCTACGATAGCCCTAGCAAAGTGTAATGTTATATTGTGTGAATTATATGGCGATCGCGCAATAAAAATAACATCGGGGAAAAATAGTATTGCTTTTAAAAGACAGTGTTTTGAAAAACTTTTAAAATTAGAATCATGTATATGTTCCTATCTAACGCTCGCTGATGATTATTATACTACTACGATACGTGTTCATAATAGTTTTTTGAATGACATTACAGGGGCTTTTGAAAGCGATAAAATTTCGAATATCACGCCTAGCACTGTAGAGGATCTTCTCAGTTCGTATTGCATATTTAATCATCTCTCCACAGAATTAGTAGTATTAGCGATACACGAGTTAGTAAATAGTTCACTCGAGCATTTGGATTGTAGTTTTACCCGTGATGACTGTATGTCTTAAATTGAAGCATAGAAAAATTGTATGAAGAGTAAATAAAAACAGTTTATATAACATAAATTATTGACTTTATTCCATTATCCCTATTCTTCAAAGTATTTAACTCCCCGATCTTCAAAAGGTCCTGTTGCAGAATGTGTTTTCATTGCGAATAAGAAATGCAAATCAAAAATATCAAATGCCCAGGGAGCGTTTGTACTTTCTTCGTACCACAACCACGTCATCCTTTCTCTTTCTTCGACTCTTTGCATACGCACATCACGCACCATTTTCCAATATTCTTTTCCTGTGTCGAGAGGACCATGTTTATTGCATCTTGCGGTTCTCCTCATGATGAAAGTTTATCTTTATTCACTCTGTAGACAGTTTTTACAAAGCGTTTACGAAACTAATTTATTTTATGACCCATATCTTAGAGTCAATCCTAAATTTTACTTAGGTAGCTACCCTTATGATTGTGGGTTAAAACTCTTAGTCTAAGAAACACGTGTTCACCTAGGACCGTTAGATTGTCTGGCGGAAATGTGAAGGCTCCAGAAATCCTAGCCACTCGTTGCAGTTCTTCGCCGAAGTTTCAGATAAATTTTGTTGCGCAAAAATGTCTCAGCGACTCGACGGCGCCTCTTTTCTTTCGTCACGATGTAGGCTTGTCTTTCAATTTTTCTTTTTACTTTCCAACATATCGCTTTGTCTGATAGTTTTACTGCTACTGCTTAGTTGTCGTACAGAAATATTTCCTTTGAATTTTGAAACGAAAAAACTTCAGCCGTAAAACTTTTGGAGCGAGTTATGATGACTACAGTAGCCTTACCGATAAGATACAGACATCGGACACCGGAAACCGAGGTGTCTTTATACGGAACGATCGAGAGGAAGACAGTGAGAATTGACAACTGAATCAAGCAGCATCACTCTTATTAATAATCATTTAGAATTATGTTTATTTTGTAATCTTTTTAAAAAGTATAAATTCACATCGAACAACTTAATTGGCGCAGTCGGTAGGACACTGAAGAGATTCTACGGAAAGCATCGTGACCATCCTTGAGGAATCCCTTAGTGTCAACTATTAATTCAGAAGAATCTACAAACTCAGGAAACTGAAAGGAAGCTGAGTGGAGGACTACGCACTGAAAGGCATAAGGTCAGTCATTGAGCAATACATCCTTTAACCTCACGAATCCTTTGTTAACTGACGTGAAGTACACACATAGCTAACATGGCTAACCCACTATAAATAGATAACACAGGCACCATAATGGCAGCTAAGGAAATAGGTAGAATGATAGGAACATTCAGTGGTAAAGCAGAAGAACTAGATACTTTCGTTATCGAGATGGATCAGTACCACAGCCGATATGGAGCTACTAGGGATCAAAGCTTAAATGAATACGTATATTTTACGATAAAAAGCAAATTATTAGAGAAAGCTAGAGATTTTGTTAGAAGTCGACCAGACTTGAGAAATTGGTCCGAACTAAGAACCGCTCTTACGGAACAATTCGGAGATAGGACAAACCGCGAAATATTGACAAACGAATTCCAATTAACACGAAGACAACATAATGAAGACATGTTGAGTTTCCTTAATAGAATCAGGAAATTGAAGGCTAGAATAGACCTTAAGATACAAACAGATCCTTTAATGGGGATAATGAAAGATGTGGCAAGAGGTTATGCAGAAAGCATGGCGATCATGATATTGAAATCAAACGCACCATCAGAACTAGAGCTAAGACTTGGCAAACCGACAACGTTGAATGAAGCCGCGAATATAATCACAGAATATCTGATTCACGAGAAACAGATTAGTAGCCTGCGAGGAGTTAATACACAGACGTATAGAAAACCAATTTTACCACCCCGACCAATACAAGGAAAGCCACATGTAAATAACAGCCGTCATTTTGGAATCCTGTAAATACCGCGCAATACCAACCAAACATGTATGCACCAACGTACGGACAATCGCGAGCTACGAACTTCCCATCACAGCCTATTAACGTACAGCCTATACCTAGGGCACCGCAAAGATTCCCCACTAACTCACAGGTATTTGGGAAGCCCATTAATGCATTCGCGCTCGATAGCAATAAACCGCAAAAACCAGTTACACCTATGTCAGGAGTTTCCAAAATACCATCAACAATAAATCAGAAACCATTCTCGCCTTTCGAACAGAATGCTCGACATTACGCTCCTGGAAATAAGACCTTCAGAGCTGCTGGACCCCCTGATTTCATAATCGAAAAACTCACAAATATAAAATATCAAGAACAAGATAATTACTATTATCCAGAAACGGAGACATTTCAGGGCTGCGAAGAATATTCAGAGAACATGCAGTTCTCGACCGAAACAAGTGCTGAACAAACTGAAGCACCCGCAAGCCAGGATTTTCTCGAGGACCAATGACAAAAACCAAACGAATAGAAATTAATACAGTACTCAGCAACTCATTACCATATATAGAAATTGCAGAGCCATACATGAAACTGTTGATAGATACAGGATGTCAGGCTTCCATCATGCGACCTATAATAGCGGAACAGAACTTCCCACATCAGATCTTTCGTAGTAATACAGTAATAACTACGTGTACAGGGCAGCAAAATCCCCGATTTTAAAGAATTCAGTCAGCACGAACTCATAGAGTTCATTCTATTCAATTTCCATGATTATTATGACGGACTTATAGCAGTAAATGAATTAAGAAAAGCAAAAATGCACATAGATCTAGAAAACGGATTGCTACGCAACGACGAGACCGAAATCCCCCTGAAATACCGAACAGATTTTAGCATTCAGAGAATAGAAATTCCCGGAAATACAAGTATTTTGAAGAGAATAAAGACCACACTTGACGAAGGAGAATGGATAATACCCGAGATTACGGCAGGAAGTTCTGTCATCAGGTCAGGTGCGATAGAAGTGAAGGATAACTATACGATAGTAGAAATCGTCAACAATTCTCTGAACACTACATTAAGAGAGAAATTATTGGAAAGAACCAAAGACGTGATACCTTTAAATGAAGTAGAACTATTTCAAGCTCACATGGAACCACAACTAGCTGAAAAACCACGAGAGCTACAGGAAATTCGCGTAAACCAGCTTAATAGCGAAGAGTCACATGAGCTACTCAAACTTCTACAAGGTTACACAGTCGTACTCCGTCAACCAGAGAGTAAACTAACGCTTACCAATAGAATAAAACATGCTATTAAGACAAAAGACGAAATACCTACCAAGACATACGTCATAGACGACATACCAAGTCATATAGGTATCCGCACATACATAAAGAGGAGGTACAGAAACAAATACACAAAATGCTTGAAGACGGCATAATTAGGCAATCACATTCACCCTGGAGTTCACCTATATGGATAGTACCCAAGAAGCAAAATGCTAGTGGGAAGAAGAAATGGAGAATCGTGGTAGACTATAGGAAGGTGAATGAGAAAACTATCGATGATCGGTACCCATTACCAAATATATAAGATATTCTAGACAAGTTAGGAAGGTGCCAATACTTCACAACCCTTGATCTAGCATCCGGATTCCATCAGATAGAAATGGACTCAGAATCCATTGAAAAAACAGCGTTGAATGTAGAAAATGGACATTACGAATATACACGAATGCCCTTTGGTCTAAAAAATGCACCAGCTACATTCCAACGTGCAATGGATAACATCTTAAGAGAACTGCAAAACAAATTAGGCCTTGTCTATATGGACGATATTATAATCTTTTCTACATCTCTACAAGAACATATTAGTAACCTCAGAGCAGTCCTTGACAGACTCAGAGGCGCTAGTATGAAGATACAACTGGATAAATCTGAATTCTTGCATAAGACAGTCGAATTTTTAGGACACATAGTTACGACCGAGGGAATCAAACCAAATCCACGAAAATTACAAGCAATAAAGAATTTCCCTATACCACAGACGGCTAAAGAAATCAAATCGTTCTTAGGCTTAACAGGCTACTATACAAAATTCATTAAGAACTTTGCTAGAATCACCAAACCAATGACGAAATGTCTGAAAAAGGGAGAAAAGATTGAGCATACAAAAGAACTTGTGGAAAGTTTTAAAACATGCAAGAATGCCTTAATGGAAGAACCTATACTGCAGTATCCAGACTTTGACAAACCATTCAATTTAACGACCGATGCATCTAACGTTGCTGTTGGAGCAATACTCTCACAAGGAACGATAGGAAAAGATCTTCCTGTGGCATATGCGTCGAGAACACTCAACCCAGCGGAAATAAATTATAGCACTATCGAAAAGGAATTGCTGGCCATTGTCTAGGCAACAAAAACTTCCGACCGTATTTATATGGAAGAAAATTTAAAATCATTACTGACCACAAACTACTGCAATGGTTATTCTCTTTGAAAGAACCTAATTCTAAACTCGTTAGGTGGAGACTTAAATTAGAAGAATACGAGTATGAAATCGTATACAAGAAAGGGAAACTTAACAATAACGTCGATGCCTCATCGCGATTTGAAATAAATCCTATCGATAGCGAATCAACCAAGGCAAATCCTCCAGGTGATTTAGAAATCATACAATTACTCAAAGAATTGCCTGAAAAGACATTATCAATATCAAGAAACGAGGCCGACCTGATACTGGAAGAATTTAACAGAGAACAGAGAATTCATGAGGACGACACGAACACCATACATACGAGTCATGAGGATCCCATACTCGGGATACCCATCATCGAAAAACCAGTAAACCTTTATAAAAATCAAATAAATGTTACGGTCTCAGGAAACGATATAAAGGTCTCAAAGATCAGGGTATTTGAAAACAGCCGCATGAGATTAAACATCCCGGAAAAGGCAACGTAAGACCACTGGATCAAATTTATAAAAGAGTATGTGAATCCTAAAGAAAAATATTATTTCTATTTCAAAGACAAGAATTAACAGCTAGTACTGATCACCATAGGTAACAAGTACTTTAAGAACAGATTCTTACAAGACATCATAGATACAGACCAACAAATGGAAATGATAGCTAACCAGCATGTAAAGAAAACTTGTCACAGAGGGATCAAGGAAAACATCCAAGCTATAAAAAGCAAACATTACTGGCCAAAAATAGATGAAATGATTAGAGACTATGTAAATACCTGCGAAGTATGCCAAAAAAGCAAGTACGAGCGAAGACCCCATGAACTCGTATATAAGCCTACAGCTATAGGGAGAAATATCTGCGAACATCTATATGTTGACACCTTCAAGATAGGTAGCGAATATTTCATAACCATTGTCGACAGTTTCTCTAAGTATGGGCAAGCATACCACACGCAAGCTATAACAGGTATAGAAACCACGAAGAATGTACTACAATTTATAAGCCAGTTTGGTATACCTACAAAGATAACCTGCGATAACGGAGTGGAATGGAAAAACGAAACCTTTCAAAAATTTTGTGCATACCATGGTATAGAAATATACTATACGACGACTATAGTCCGTTTGAAAGATTTCACTCCACGATAATAGAAACCCTTAGAGCTTTAAAAACTGAAGACAGCAAAGTATCAACTGCAGAAGCAATGAGATACGCTATATTAGGATATAACAACTCTATTCATACAGCAAAAGGATATACACCCTTCCAGGTAATTAAAGGTGACGTCAATTCGAAAGACTCTTTCGAGACCACAGAAGCCAGTGCCACTACACAGTATCTAGAAGAACACCAGAAAAGAATGGGAATTATAAAGACTCAGATACTCGACAGGCTTGCAACAAAACAGGAAAGGACACTAGAACGTCTGAATGAGAATAGAAAGGAACATGTACCGATAGACACGGACAAGCCTCTGTACTACAAGGGACACCTGTATCGTATATCCAGTAAGAAACAAGAACCTCTATACAAAACGACAAAGGAGAAACCCAAAGTGATTAGTTCTCATAAAGTCGATTTAGGCAAGATCACTATACACCCCAGATTGACGAAGCCTCAACGGTTTGTTTCAGACAAGCAAAATGACGATCCTACTGCTAATAATGATACACCTCACGATGGGAATAGAGATAACACCGATACAGAACAGCCTTCTACCCATGAGATTGGGCAACGCTAAGATGATAGAAGGAAAGCATACATTCCAATGCGGCATCAATCTGGAAATTTATAAGGAAGCTATGAAGTCATTCACAGAAGAGAGAACAACAAGAGCAAATATAAGACGTACTACAGAATAACGAAACAAATCATAAGGGAAATCGACGACGTAAAGGAACTCTTGCACAATCTCGAAGAGGAACCTCGTACCAAGAGAGGAGCCGTTAATGTGATAGGCAAAGCAGCTAAATGGTTATTCGGTGCCATGGATAGCGAGGACAAAGAGACCATACACGAGGAAATGGAACTACTTAAGAAAAATGAGCTACGCTTAAATACAGGTCTTACCAAACAAAAGACCATATTGCAGGAAATAACAAGAAGTCACACCCCTGCTATAGAAAGATTGTATGCAAATCAAAAAGAACTGAGCAGGGCATTAGAACAAATAGACAGTAAGGGTAGTATTAAAGCACATGAACCCGAATTAGAAAGCACGTTAATAGTAGAAGCATTATACGTGGAAATAGTAGCAATAAAAGAAAAATTGAAAGAATTAGAGCTTTCCATATCATTCGGAAAATCTCAAACGTTATATAGGTCAGCTATTAAACCCAAATTATTCAATCAAATCATAAAGCATTACAATAAAGACAATCAGGAAATGCAAATACCTACACTTAGGTCCATACTCAATTACTATCAGCTAGCCATAACACAAGTCAAGATTAGCAACAACACTGTACTATTTAAGATACACATGCCCCGAAGTAGAAGATTTCTACTACTGTCAGAGGAGGGACACCCATGCAAC